TGCTCCCTACAAAGCAGCAGTTTGAAAGCATTGCGAAGGAAACTGCCCCGATATCTCACTCGCAAAAAGTTACGAGAAAAGTCCGCGAGATGGCGGTGTTACGTTTTATACACTCCAAGTTCAATATACCACATAATATGCTCCAAGCTCTAAAATTTGGAATTTTGAAGTAAACGCGATGTAACTCGCATTTGACACAATATTAGAATATGAACATGTTTTTCGTCCATGTATAATATCAGTTTACGTATCTATCTAATATTAATTCTTAACTTTAGTATTTTGTTTTTGGACAGTCCTGTGTTGGTAATCAATGGGTCGATTACCTATTGAATCTACTATATTATTTTACAAAGATATATTTTGGGCTATCTCGTTGGACGAGTTGTTGCAGGGTTGACGGCCAAGCAAGTGGTCTCGTGTTCGAATCTTGGTTCCAACCACATTTTGGTTACAACCACAGAACATCAGTTATTTGATTCATAACTTAAAGAGAAGACAAGTTTATCGTACTTATCTCTGCCCATGCCATACCATTAATAGTTTTCAACATGATCTGTAACACACTTGTAATATTCTAGTGTTGCTAGCGTACTCTAACTAAGACGAACGTTTACTATTGAGCGCTTGCTACCAATAGATAATAACAGTAATAAGCGTGAAAATTGACCAACCCTGAGGAAAGTACGTAAATAAAAGATTTCATAAACGAATTACCATGTTTCAAAACATTGAAAATTAATTTAGTAAATTGAATTTGCTGATTACATTGAGTAATTAGTTGCTCACCCCGAGGACATTCATAATTGGCCCGGCGACGAATTGCCAATTTATTCATTGAAATTTTATTGCCGCTCAATTTATGAAATGTATAATAATATTCAGTTAGAGCTGTGTTTCTAAAACCATTTTATTGAATATTGACGCATTGTTATTGTGTTTATGACTTCCTAGTTTGCAAATACGAGAACAAATTAAAGTTCTACACTGTACAAATGGTTTTTAGATGTCAAACAAACAAATTTATTTTCATTATTACGTGTAACTGTACGAGCGAGAGTAATAATCAAGAATTGTGTAGTTGGGGGAACCCTGCTTTGGCATCAATGATCCTACTGTGTCATAGAAAATAGCCGCCTTGTGAATGAGGTTGTCGAGAAACAATCTTCCGCTCTACTAACTTTTAAACTTTCGCGTTTCATCTTAAGAACATTATATTTACGCGGGTATAATCAGCGTAGTGTGTAGACGGCCTAATATGGTAGAAAATGAAAATAAGGGGGTAGATGAAGATTCATCACCCGAATGCAGGGAGCTGTGACATCGCGTCTTCAGTCTGCTTGTGACCACGACCTGTGCAACCGGGTCGAAACGTCAAGCCTACCAAGGTATTCAAATTATAATTTTCCGCGTTAATACCCGCGTAAATATAATGTTCTTAATCTTCCGCTCCTTCATCAACTGAATAATTAAATGCCCAACCTCTAATCTCCAAATTGACAAATACCAAGAACTGGTCTGACGATGTCATTGTCCATGGGCGGCGCCAATTGCTTAACATCGGGTGTTCTGTAGTGATGGTTAGCCGACCTGCCGCCGACCCTGCTCGTAGTATTAACATTGAATGACCAGAATGTGTCGTAGGTGCGTGCAATGATAGAGGTGTACAGCACGCTCGTGGCTCGTGACATAAATCTCCCGGAGCAGGTGTCACCGGCAGACGCGTTACTTCTAACCGATATGGCGGCCGCTTCATAATGGGCTCTGTGGTCAGCCGAGCCATTGGTGACAACCGCCCGTGAATGATATGTGGCCATTGTGGAACAGCTGGTATTGTGTGCTGCACGCGATTACCTGCTCAATGTTCACTGACCGTGGATGTACTACCGTGGAGGTACTTCGTAAACTAAATTAAATACGTCTTAGAAGCAATCTGTCGATATCTGATTGCCATTACAATTAAGATGGCGGTGAACTTTGCCAATAACTCGCACAAATCATGGTAATAGCTTCGATTACGAGAACTAATTCTCAAAATGGATCCTCTCATACATTATCATTATACTCGTCCGTCTGGTGCACCTTGCCGGAGGACGATCTTATGAGATATTTGCGAATAGATCACATGATGTTATTATATATAGTATTTTTCCGTAGCGGAATATATTGATTTATTAATGTAAGCCTTAGCTTAGGATCAAAGATTAAGACTACCACAGATAGGGCCTTAGAAGGTCGGTGTTTAGCCGGGGCAAGCGCAACAAGGTACCGCGGTTTCTGCCCTGAAGAATGGGAACGGTCGAAGTGATTTTTAGTCAGTCATAATCTGTCAGTCCCTCTTACCTCAGAAAACTTATTTTATAATTTTCACTTTGTTATTCATTGTATTCATCTATGAATCAGGTATTGCTAATATTACATCAGTAATTGCTAAGATGCAGTTGTTCTGCAATCATTTCAAGCACAAAATGCATTCAGGAACGCTAAAACCTTAAAGTTCCTTATAGCAATATTTTGTTACGTATTTTTATAGGACGCGTGACGTCACGCGCCGGGCGCTGTAATACTCGTACCAAATATAATTTGTAGTAAAACTTCATACGGAACCTTTTATTAGAGAAGTTGCCTGTACTCGGAGTATTGTAATTTACTCAGCCGTGTATTGCGAAAGTTGTACACTTTCAGCTTTAATGTGATGCACGAAGACTAAGGAAACTTTTGTACTGTAAGTACAGATGAAGCATTGTATCTGGATGCTGGAGCTGCTAGATCCCTGTACTAATATTCTGCGTTAACTATGTTAAGCACTGGTAATTAAATAGAAAATGTCCTGAAAGGACAGGAGACAATGTCATTCTCATAAAACATTGTCATAAGTAATGTTCGCGATTGTTTATGCTACTTGGTCACCAGCGCGGGCTCAACGGAGGCTTCGGAACGTGACCCCAGCTCAGTCCCAAGTGTCCCACATCGAGTTAGTGTGAGCAGTCGTGCGCAGCACAGAGCTGGCTGACATTATCTGAACCGAATCCGCGTCTCTTACACTCATATTTTTCGTTGGTTACTTTTGTAAGTTAGGAAAATTGGATTTCACTGTAGGAACCATTTGCATTTTCCTATTTATTAAATTTCATCTATTACTCAATCAACATCATTTTAAACTAAAATTGTTATCAAAACTGTAACAGTAGTCTTTTGAAATTTTAGATCTTCTAATATAATACATAAAAAATTTAAATTTCTGTTCCTTTATTCGGTTTTGCGGTTCGGCTTAGTTGAATTTGATGTTAAAGTGTTCGTAGAAGTTGAGGGAAAGTTAAAACGGTGAGAAAATAGGAATAAAGTGGCAGAGAAATTTTCTCTCCCGCACAATCTACTCTGTAAGTAACATTCGATATTTGACCAGGGTCAAGACCGACGTAACTAAACATTGATTAGTATAAATAAAATATTGGACATTTTCTTTTCTTTTCTTAAATAATAGTGTTTAACAAGGACAATATGGCGCTGTAACCAACATGTTTAAGTAATGCTCTCACCGCAGTGCTAGCAAGCGACCAGCAAGAACTAGGCTCACAGCGAGCACACGTGCCATAAACTGTTATATTAATAGAACATTTATAATTTGTAATCGGGACGTGCGCCATTTAATATGATTTATTCTAGAGTACTGCGCTTCAATTCATCTTCAGGGATTGTGTACCTATAATTAAATTTATTGAGGCTTTTTTATAATATACATAATGGAGGTATAATATTATCCAAGCTTACATTCTCAGGGACTATGTTTAGTTTCATCTTTTCCATTATACTTTTTACTCTTAACATTGCGTCAGAGGTTATCTATGGTATTCTAGTTTTAGATGCTCCAAACATACAGAAACAATATTACGAGTAACCCAATACAGTACTGGTATTAATCCCTTGCAATTGGTGTTTCTATTTGCAAATATTCCTTTGATACAGACTTCAAGGTGGAGTAAACAAAATTGACTCAAAGTTGATATATTTCCTGGTCACGAAGCTTCAAAATCCTACAGCTTCTATTACTTAATATTTTGTTAATTGGGGTAATGTTGCATATTGCTCACTGATGGATAAGTATCGTTACGATATTTGGATATTTCAACTAATTCATTTAATATGTACCCTGTCTATAGATCACCAACTGCTAGGTTACTGGCATATTTTATTTTACACAACAAGATTTCAATCAATCTTCATGAACTTATTAGTTAAGTTAGACTAAGCAACATAAATATTTTGAGTCGCAAACAGACAGGTTAAATTGAAATTTGGTAATACCCTGGATTAACAGACAGCCTGATTTTTGCCTACATACCTCACGGGTGCAGCCGCAGGCGAGAGCTAGTTATTAATAAGACAACGGAACCAAGTAGACTGCATATCGAACTAAGCCATTGTTATTCATGAAGTTGTCTCTTCGGGAAACTCGGCGCTGATACGTAGTACCAGTACTGCGCCTTGTGGCTCGTAACGATACCTTCACTTATCTTGTTCCGTGTTTTGCTGGGTACAGCATTGTATACGTCTAGCTATACCTTTACTCTAAAATATTCATACAGTCGTTACTTTGAAACGATAACTTCCTCGTGGTTTCTATTCTCAAGTGCATTTTCTAATACTCTTGCATGTGGAGCTAAAGCCACAAGTGCCCACTGCTGAGCAAAGGCCTCTTTCCGCCCGGAGAAAGTTTGTACCTGAATCCCCACGCTTGCTGAAAGCAGGAATGATTTCCTAACGATATTTTTCCTCCACTGTTTGTCAGTGGTGTCTAAATATTATTAAGTACGTATATAAAATTATGAATAAGTCACATTGGTATATGCCAGCTTTCAAACCCTACTTCTCAAAAACATTCATAAAACAGGACTTAATTTAAAAGGCAACATGTTTAATTACAAATAAATGTATTTAACGAACCTTAATTAAGTACTTAATAAATATTAACAAATAAATTATTATATACATAGAAGGCACTGGTCGCGTGGTTTACAGAATCCTCTTTGGTTTCCGCTGCATTATATTTGATAAACGTTTATACATTATATACTGCTAATGTATATTAGTTATTAAAATTGACATCAATATTTTCACAGTCAAAAAACTTCGTCAAAGGCTAATCAAATTTAACCCATAGAAGTACTCAACACTATGGATAACGTGGTTCATGGTTAGTCAGTCACTCGAGAGTATGCATACTTGCAAGGAAACGTTCCCATGACTTGACATAAATCACGGAAGCAGTTATTCAGGAAATTTTCTAATTAAACGAGTGTACTCATAAAATATGACAAACTGTTGTATAATTGGATTTGTCAAAAGGGAATGTGACAAACTTGAGGCAGTTCCGAACACAATTTGTCATAATTTGAAGAGGGCACGTGAGCCCGCGAGTTCCTGAATTAAGTTTTAATTAGGTACGATATGCCACTGGGAACTTTTCATACTCGTATACTCTATATAATTGAGCAAATATTTTCACTAGCAATAATGATGTTGATGTTAGTGAATTTATATTTTGTGACGTTGCTATATTTTTAGACTAAAGAAAATAATTATTTCCACCTGGCAATTGTACAAATCATAATAATGTTGTACTGTACTTAAAGCAGCGACCATTAAGAGACACATATCACAGTCGGAGTTTGTAACATGAATGCCCTGCGTGCAGTCGAGCCACGACCCCTGGTACTCGAACATGTAACAAACGTTGCTTCACTACTATATCTATGACTAGCAGTCAACTCCTCGCGTCATCAGAACTTATGCTCGCCCGTATTCTTTGACTTCTCATCAGCTTTTTTTTCATCTGATTTCTTCACTCCATCTTCTAAAAAACAATTGTAACTATTATACTTATCATTTTGTTTAGTCTAAACGGGTAAAGTATTATATCTTACCGAGAGCTTTCGAAGGTTTGGGCTCATTCCATGGCTGTACATCAGCAGAAATGAACAGCAGGTAGAACAAGTTGACCAGGAAATAGAATGCTACTGATATGAAGAATACTTTCCGCCAGTCAGCTGCACTTGTCTGCAATACACACGTTGCATTGATGAGAGAATGTTAAAAGTTAAAGTGAAGTTTACAAAGAAAATAATTGTGATGCGTTAAGTACTGACCTCGTCTTCAACAACGAAAGAGACAGTGAGAGGAGCTAAGATCGAGAAGATCGCTCCAATGCCGTTAGTAAAGCCCATCATGGTGCTCGCGTGGTTCGGAGACAAGTCGATGTGAGATAACTGAAATCAAAATAATCATGACATATAGTACTTGTAATTACTTATGTTTACAAACAAAATAACGGTGATCACAAAACACGAAACGCTAAAATAATGACAATATTAGACTAGGCGTTTATGCTGCTTTACGGCGATGGAACTTACCATGAAGCCCACGTAGTGAGCGCCGTTGAGACCACAGGTGATGGTGAGGATAATGACAGCAAGTGACAAGTTCCCGGCCGGCAGGTACGATAGACCCAGCAGAGCTACAGCAGGACCCCATTGAGCTGGAACATTATGATTACTTATACTTACTTTTCTCTTGTACTTAAATATGTATATCATAATGATTAATATTCAGTGTTTATCAATTATCGAACAAAAAATCGGCCACAGTTCAATGCAGACAGTACTTTATTTAAAACTGGTAATAACAAAGTAAATTTGTAAATTACCGATAGTATTGAATATTCTGCGTGAGGTGACCAGTCTCACGATCTTTCTGTTCACTAGGAAGTCTGCCAGCCAGCTGAAGAAGAAGCTGAGGATGTACATGGCAATGTACGGCAGAGCTGACAACTGCCCGTTCTGAAATCAGAGGTAGACGGTGAATGTGAGTGGAATAGTAAAATAACGAAAATATTTTTTTTACATTTTCCGCTAAGGAAAATGACGTACCTCTTTAATGTCCACATTTAGAACATTCTTCATGTATGACGGTAACTCGGTGAGAAGTGTCCAAAATCCTAAGTTCTGACCGCTGTGAGCGAGCAAGATCGCCCAGAATGGCAGACACGTCAGGATACTTTTCCAAGGAGTTGGTATTTTCTGTTGAACAATAATTATAACGATAACGCCCATTAGGGATAGGATCAGATAGAGTAGGGAAAAGTATACAATGTATTCGCAGATTTAGTTTTCATAGATCATTAATACGCACCTCATGTCCAATTTTGTTGGAGCCAGCGTTGGTCTCGATGTAATTCCTCTCTTCCTTAGAGATCCACCGGCTAGAGTCGGGCGTGGAGTCGCCGAATATGAGCCACAGCACCGACCAGACGATGCAGGAGATGCCGGCCACGTAGAACACGGACGGCCAGCCCCACGGACTGGCAGCTAGCACGCCTGATGTTAGCAGCTCCACAATCGTGCCCAGCTGTGCTCCTGGTAAGTAGCGTGTAGTCAGTATCAAAATTACGTGGTAACTATACTCGATCATTTTATAGCATTTTGAGCGTTTTTAGAGTTAAATTCATTCAGCATGTAGGATCTGTCCGATTCCTTTATATGTGCAAGAAAATCAATGTTAAGTTTACCAATAATGTATTCTGAGCACAATCTCTTGCAGTAACATCGAAATTGCAAACGATTTTTTAAACGAAGTGAAACGTTGATTTGCAGGGATTCTCGACAATACCCCAAGGAATAAAACTGCAGCTGTTTACAAATTCAGTTACTGAATGTTGCCTGGCAGTGAGAGCTTGTATAATATAGAGCAAACTTTACTATAAAATAACCTAACATGTATTATTTATTTTTAACGTGTTTGATATTATCAAGAAACGGTATTTCTGTAGCTTATGAAGGAAAATTACCCGAGGAGAGAAACCCTTTCTATGATTCGGGCGTTTCGCTAACAAAACAAATAAATGGCACTGAAATTGGATTAAATATACGAGTTTGTAAATAATATATTTTTTAATCAGAGTACCGATGGGGCTTCTTGCTCGTTGTTCTCCGTATAGATGTACATTTTAGAGCACAAAGCTTCACTGATAGACGGGACTCACGGACTCCTTTAGACGTTTAAAAATTGTCTGCATCATTTTTTTTTTAATATTTATAAATGTTGTAAGTTAATAACCCTAAATAGTTTTATCTCGGCATCAAAATAATACGGAAAATTGTTGAGTTGGTATGCCTCTGACGCGTTATCGTATAATCTTGAGGTTCAATATCACAAAATCTACGATCGTGACATATAGGTGCTCGTATTATGAGAGGAAGGACATTGAAAGCACAGATTGAAAAGCGCATGATTATAACACAGCATGTAATAATCATGTAGCGATGTAGATGACATTCAGGTAGGACGGAGATAAAGAGGAAAATGATTTATTTTGTTTACCAGCATAGACGAAGGTGCCGAGTCGGCTGCGCTCGGTAACGGGCACCCAGTGGCCGAGCACGCCGTGCAGGCTGGGGTACAGCAGCCCCTGCACCAGCCCCATCACGATGCGGCACGCACACACCGCAATGTAGTCACCCTGTGTCATAAATCAATATTTTATCGAGAAATACTTGTTGATGTTTTGATGAGGAAGGAAGCTTGCTAGGTCGTTTTCAAATTTGATGTTGTTAAAACTATATAGCTTATTTATTAATCTGTGCAATTAAAGTTGAGTAGAGGAAAGTTGTGAGTAGTATTTATGTTTTAGTAAGGTATTGTATATAGTACTGTAGGAGACAATGACAACAATAGAAAACAAATCAAACTGTTGCTCTTTAACGTCTTTCCTTTTTAATGTTTATAATATTTCAAATTGCGTATAATTCACTGTTCATAAATAAATACATTTAGCAACAAACAACACGTCCTGCGCTTTCAATAAAACAGACAAATAGGTTGGTTGTCCTGTTCCGCAGCAGATGAAGGTCGTGCAAGCACTCGCTCATGATGCAAGGGCTGGGGTCGTGCCCCTCGGCGCGCCAGTAATGGCCACCATCAATATAAAGCACGAACAGGCGCGTAAGTTAATTGCGAGATTTATTGTCAGGTTCTTTTTGTTCCCTTTATTTTTGAATATTATATTTTCTTCACTTCTTTTGCAATTTCTTAAAATCACACAATTTTGAAAATATCTTTTGGTTCTGAAACTGAATTCTCTTCTTCTGTTATTATTTCACGCAAAAACGGCTGGACCTATTACTCGTATAGGCGATATCCTGGATTAACAAATAAGGTGCCTTTTATCAACATACCACGCGGGCGAAGCCGCGGGCAGAAGCTATTTTCATAATAAAACTAAAGCAGATTAATAGGTCCATTAAGTAATTTTTTGTTGACAGCACCCGACCCCGTCATTCCGTGAACCCTCTAAAAGGTTCTATTTTAGAGTGAGCTCCCGCAAACAGAGGCGAATACTTTATTATATTTAGCTAAAGCTTACAGCATTAAGTTGGTTTAATGCTTCGAGAGCTAAAGTCGCAGAACAAACGTTTCAGGACATTGCTCAGCCGCCAGTACAACGTGGAAAGTTGTTGTCCTTTGAGATGGGGGTCAGTAATAAAATATACTATTTTAGTTATGTACACAATCAGCTTCAAATACAACCTCCTATATTTAGAGCTGTTTCTGTAGTTGACCCAAAACTCAATTTAAGGCCATAATCAGCTCATGAATTGGTATTGAGTCTCAATGAATGTGCTTTTATTGAGTTTTACGATGTTTACGCAACGTTTCCGTCCGCGCACCGCAAACACACGCGAGCGTTACACACTGCAAACATGTCCGACACTGATTCCACTGTTTTTTTCAATCAACACTAATGAATATGTATTCCGATGTTTTACGAAATTCATACAAACGCTTTGTTTGTTTGGCTTTTAATTAATAATCATCAGAAATTTTCATTTCTGTCTGTTTACCTATATTTTGCTCATCCCATGCAATATGCAGAACAATTTCAAAATTATTTTTACCGACTTGATATGCAACTTAAAAATAGGCTGGTAGGTGACGAATAATGTAATACTTCATATTGGGCATTATAACAGCGACATCGTTATCGTTATTTATGTTAGGTTTAGTGGCTACAACTAAATCAGGATTTCATCATAGGAAATTAATATTCCTAGCAATCGTGGTACATGTGCCTCGTAAAGCAGCAAAGTCCCTTTATCCTAATAATTCGGCAGGTAGGATTGCATACAATTATAAAAACTGAGTAATATAAAAAAGTAGATCGTAATGTTGCCATTACGATCTACTTTGGGGATACTACGGGTTGGAATGAGGTCGGTATAAGGTTCACCACGAGCTCGACTACCCTCGCCTACAATATCGCGCACAGCTGGCCCGCAGCCAAACGTTTCTCGCAGCGTCTTCACCTCCAGCTCCCTGGAGCTTCATATTATTACTAACTTATTCTTTAAAGATGATGTACTTTATTGTAACAATATAAAGTAATAAATGTGAAATATTGGTGCCCTGGGAAAAATGGGCTGAACTAGACCTGCGCTGCGCCACCTACACTAATTTATTACGAACCCCTTGGCCGGTGTAGTAGATAAAATTTTTACACACACACGAGTACGCTACTCAGTAGTAAAATAATGCAGTGTCAAAAAAGAGTCTTGAGTTACCTTGATAGCTGCAATGGGTAGCAGCAAGTTGACGACGCCAGTGGTTGCCATGGAGATTAGCATGAGGTACTTGCCACCGAACCTGCCGGCGATGTAGCCCGCCGGGATCTGCAGCACGATGTAGCCCCAGAAGAAGGAGGACAGGATCGTGTCCTGGATGCTGCGCGTCCAGTGGGAGAACACCTGCAGGACATGCATAGTTACTCGTGTTAGATCAGTTCTATTGCATAATAAAATTGTTGTCACATGCACTGGGCATAACTTGATGTCCAAATATAATAAATATAATCCTTCAGTACTTTACGAAAACAAAACAGAAAATAAAAGCTACTTAGCAGCAGAGTTTTATCACATTTAGACTAAATCAAAGCATATTTTAGACATTATTTAGAAGGGATGTGTATTCGGCCACCGAGAGCATCGCTCGCTTATCATGCTAAACGTAGTACAGGTTGAATGATGGCTTTGCTATTGACGGATATTATTATAATATTATGCGATAGAAAGCAGCAATAACATCGATTTATGTTCAATACACGAGCTATCACATTCAGCCGCCACCGTACTGTGCTTTAAGTGTGCGGGATTTTGAAGACGTGATTTCAACACCAAACGGCTAAAGTCTATTACTATTGATATGTAATACTTTTAAAAATATTTGAAAACGTAAGGAAACTAGATCAGATTCAAGACAATTTAGTTTGTCAGCCAAATGTCTCAGTAAATAATTGACGTACTGATACAAACAGTTTAAACTATTACGCTGGAGACACACAGGGTTCCTGCGACAAGTCGCGCGTGTGTCGTTAGTCGAACGTGCCCGGAACGTCGCTCGCTCCAAATGATACTTTTTGCGACAATACCAATTTTCCTGTTTAATGATATCCTTGCACAGGGCTGCCACGAGACTGCAGATAGACTGAATGTGGTCACATTTATTTAAGCTCAATGGTAATGCATGTCATGTTGTTTATTAACCGTTTGATTTGATGTAAAATGGTGCATTGTGTATGAATAAAAGAATATGCAACCATGTAATAGGATGCTTTGAAATCCAAAACCATTCCTTATTGTAGATTATTATTAAGAAAAATAATAAGGGGAAAATACGAAATACTTCAGATATTTTAAACTTTTCAGAGAGCGCTAGAAGTGAATATCCTCAACTGGCGTCCCTGAGCTTTAAATGTTCGTTTAAAATAAAGAGTTGTAAAAAGTCGTTGCTACATAGACGATATTAAGGCAGACTATTCGTGAGATAATTCCCTTGAGAGTTTCATCTCACGGCGAGCAGATGGCGCTAATAGTCGAGTTTGAATTGTCCGGTGACTACCTAGTGCTTTGTAAAGAAGTTGTAAGTTTTTATTTCAAGATTAACTTCAAATAATCCGTTAGAGCAGCATTATAGCTGTTTGGACGTGTTTGTAGAAATTAGCGATATCTCGTTTCATTGTGAAGTTTCCGTATATTTTGTCAATAAACCTGACTACTTTGCATCTAGTCTCCAACCTTTTCTGGATCTGCATGACTGCCTTGTCGCAAGCCCTTTGTTACTTTAGCCTTGTGATAGGTACAACTGGTAAAAGTGAGTGTTATATGTTTATGCGTGCACACGCCGACCACTTCAGAGTAAGAGCAATGATGTACATGATATTTAAAACTCGCTGAAATTTATAGCTGTTGTATAACTTCTTTTTTAAATAAGCGCCTGAGAGATTCTCATATGAGATAAATTGACTTACCGGATGGCCATAGCTGTTGTTGGATGTCATGGCGACGATGCCGACGCTCATGGAGACACGCGTGGCATAGGAGACGGTGGTCCCCAGGAACATGAGGCACGCCATCACGTGACGCATGCCCAGCAGCCGACCTATCAAAAGACATACAGATATTAGCTAAGTATAATGTGCACTTAATGCACCGCACTACAGACTACGTGGCAATAGAGCAGCAGCTAGATGAGGTTGCTGTACGACATGTCACAAGAAGTTTCCTTTGTGACATCTATAAATTGCTGCTCCGGGTCTGAGAGTCATGAGCTTGTGTTTGTATTCGCAACCGTAACCTAGAAGAAAATCCCACTGTATTGTAACTTTACAAAAATATATTTCTTTTTATGTCATCTCTAAATTGTTGTTCTGGAGTAGAGTGCCATTTGTTTGACAAAGGATTGAGTGTATGATAAAATTCTTAGCAAACTATCGCTCTACAAGTGTCAACTGATGACTGTATTGTATGTTTGGAGAGCGGTGACAGCTATGCAACATCCGTGGCAACATCTCTCTCGGGCATATTAATAAAGTGCACGCACAGTGACGTCAGCACTCCGCCATTACATAAATTAAAACACCGGCCCATGCCGCGCGCACCGCGTGGCTTAGTGTCACCTGCGGATGCTGTTGTGCATGTTGGTTGCAACGAGATTTACTGCAATGTCTGAACGCAATAATTGGACTAGCGATTTTTTACAGTTTGCTTTTTAAGACAATGTCTTTTTTATTCCAGTTAAGCAGTACTAACGTGATAGTAATTGTGTTCGCTCTTTCTGTTTTACTTCACATTTACGATTCTTTGACTCAACCAAAAGGTGATAATCTAAAAGTTTGGCTAAGGTGCACGACGAGCACACTCATATTCCCACGAGATTACCGCGACAGAACTTACGAGTTTAATTTCCTGAATTGCATAAACGTAGGTACTTACTTTGCAGCCTCATTGTATAAATCTTTGAGTAAACTTCTAGAAAGAGCGGATTTACTTTTAAAAAGTTTAACTTTTACTATAGTAGAAGTGCATGTAGGAACATTGTAGACAGGTTTCGTAGATATAACGCATGCTATGTGTATAATATAACGACGTAAATATCTGGTGAAATAATAGCGGCTCAGAACACGCAGAGCATTAACAAACAGCTCACATAAAGTATTCCCGCGCTGACAGAACGTGTTCGTATCTAAAAACTCATTTTGTAACTGTCGGCCTTAAAGGGAAGCCGAGACACCTCACACCCCCCGCACCCCGCACCCCGCACCCCGCACCCCGCACCCCGCACCCTGCACCGCGCGACTTACACAAATAAAAGAGAAGCTTTCAATTAATTGTTCAGATAAAAAGGTTCCCTTGATAAATAACTTTAGCTTCGCAATAACTTCAAGTTCTTAAGTGACTGCTCGCTGATGGATGCGAACAATTAGACAATGTTGCTAAAACAAAATTGATAAGACGCTCATTGGAAATTAAATTAAGGAATTAAATGACATTGACATTACGAATATTAATCTTTCTTAAGGGTTGAACTCTGAGTGGAACACAACTTGTTTTCAAGGTGGTCGTAAATGTCAGGCTTCTATCTCCGCCAACCCACGGTATAAGAATTGCATCTAATATGCTGCAGTAAGAGAGGCCTTCACTTCAGTCCAATACCAAAAGTTAGAGCAGTGTGTGCAGTGAGACCGCGTACAGCTGTCACACTTTATTTCAACAGTTCAGTAGCGTTGTGTCAATAAATTGTATCGCAATACAAGAGAAGAATAGGTTTCCTCTCTTTTGAACCTTTTCTGAGATCTTGCTATACCGTATGTTTTGAACCTACAGCAGTCAGTTTATTGATAGTATGAGTCTGAGCTAGACTTACAGGTTTACCGACGCGTGGTATTTGTTAGCACTCGGTTCACAAGAGGAGACGCGACATAATCCAAACAGATATTATAAATGCGAAAGTAACTCTGTCTGTCTTTTCTTCACTCCTAAACTATTACATATTTGTGTGAAATTTGGTACGGACAGTTAGTTCTTGTTCCAAAAGTTTACTTACATCACTACAGGAAAATTGCACGACTTGTTTAGAGCCATATTTAATATTTTTTATGTGATATAAATGTTTGTCTGATGGTAAACAATCGATACCCGTGCAAAACAACATGGGAGTTACGAGTGCGTTGCCAACCTTTTGGGATAAGGGATTTGGAGATTTAATGATTGGGGAGGGATTAGGTGAGGGGAAGAATTGGCTTCCGTTGAACTCACTCACACGTCGGAACGCTGTAGTTGTTTCATGATGGTTTTCTGTGAACCGACCCATTCGTGCCGAAGCATGACTCTTAAACATCAATAAATTCACAATAAAACTGGTACCAAAGTAAGAAGGAGATACAGGGCCAGTTATCGCATAACTTACAACGGTTTTATCACAAAAGATGTATTGATTAAGGAAAACGCCATAGAGTACTTATAAATAACAAAATAGTTGCCTAGTGACTATTAAAACACCTCAGAAGACACGACACAATTAATTATAACTGATGGGTAACTGAAGGGCTTGTTAAGGTATCTGTAAGCGGTTGGATTCGAAATATCCTTCCTCATCATCGTTATCGTCCGTTATTGGACATATTTATAGATCATTTATTTTTATTGAGGAAATAACCACATCGTAAGAAAAATCTAAGTGATAAATACTCGCTCAATCATTGTTATTTTACACTGTGATAGTGCTATCAAATGATCATCCCGAAGGAATCTGTTGTTTTTGCGTGGGAAAATCAAGTTGTCCAATGACCAAGGAGGGAGAACCTCCCTGGGTAGAGCTAAGGGAGTGATTGACTCAGGCTGGATACAAAAAAGTTTTACAATGAGCCTATGATTTCTGCACTGTTCCGAGACCCATAATTAGCTATGTACTTGGTGCACGTTTTGATTGTCGCAGTAATGGCGCTGTTACTGACGTGACCGGCGTCCTCATGGGGAAATTATATTATTTGGGTACCACACGGGGTACAGACAATGGGCAATCATTACTTGATTAATAGCTCGAGGTAAATGATTCATAGAAGATACCAATGTATGTATAACTAGAAGTCAAAATATTATTTACAGAAGCAGACTTTTTTTCGTAAAGGCCGGAGTGGTTGTGCGCCTCCAGCCATCACCTGGTAGCAATTTGCCCCACGATGGAGCGACTTATTCACTCAAGTCTTGAAGAATACCTATTTCTAACCTTTATATAAGATAAGACCTTGCTCCACTATTTCTCATAATTAACAAAACTTAAAATATCATCATGACAAAAAAGTTAATAGTTAAAATAAATCAAAAAATATCTTTTCAGTTAGAAGACATACCTAGATATTTTAAATTACTTACAGCATTAACAAGAGATTTGAAGAATTCCGTAATGCAAGTTATCTCTTATTTCTGTCTCGCTTAGAGCTGAGAAATAGCGGCACATTACTCAGTCACACTGTCCCACAAGTTCAACTTATGCTGGCATCTGTCTGAGTGTCAGCTTACTATGCTAGTGTGCGTTCCTTATATATGTTCTCTTTAAGGATGGACACTTCTACCAGTCTGGATACCTTTGTATTTAGATATACATATATGTATAAATAATTACTTCCAACGATATGCATGTTTTATAAAATCAATTTTAAATTATCACTCTATTACAATATTTATCCCTCATTTCCTGGAGTAGATTTCATCGTTTTCAATTTTTTATAGATAGTATATTCTAGTATTTCATAGCCGTGCTTCAGGATTATATACTAAAGATAACTTCATATTGCCATACTGCAAAAATTCTTTGAAATTTCTTAACTAAACTTTTATATAATCTGAGAACGATAAAAAATCGTTTGCATTAAACTATTTTGATAGTCGTAGGCAACCAGAAGTAACAGATGACAATCAAAAGCATAGTATTCGGTAAGCGTTCTACTGATCTTTAAATAGATAATAATGTATTCTCACATATCCATTTAAACAATGTCACAATTTGTTCCGAGAAATAAAAAACACATTTGTTTATTTCTTTTATAAATTCAGGTATTACCCGAGAAAACTGAAAGTGTTCCAAATTCCTGTTGATATTAGATGGATATGTTTCTATTTTTATCTTCGACCGTGATCCTATAAACTGTTATTAACTCCATATAACTGTGAGCTCAATATTACTTATTATAGGCACGTTTTTCGTTTTAGTATATTGTACTAGTGTGTGAGAGCCAGGCTTCAGCACGAAAGTTTCAGTCAGCACGAAAGGGTCAGCTCGACCGGAATGATACCTCACTGAAAACTGTTTTTCGCTGTGTGAGTGAGGTTACCGGAAACCCAACCCTTCTTCCCCTCCCCAATCTTAAAATCTCCGAAACCCCAAACCCCAAAAGGCTGACAACGCATTCGTAACGCCTCTAGTGTCGCGTGTGTCTATGGGCAGCGACGGTTACTTACCATCAGGTTAACCATCTACGCGTGTGCCACATAATAAATCGTGAAAACATAGTTTTCTCATAGACTAATTAAGCAACGCATTGCTTACAATTAGAATGTATTCTAATTACAATAGCAAGTGGTATTGAATTGAACTGTATAAAAATCTTGAATAAGTCTCAAGAGAGCAATACTCAGTAAGCCACCGATGAATGTGGCTAGGCAATTAGGTGCGTTGAATGGACTCGCCAGGGGAGCCGGCGCCGCCCGGGGCCAGGAGCTGCATCGAGAGGAACCGTTCACTATAACCATATAATACATACAACACAGGTGCCACTGCAGAAGGTCCAACGTTCATAGTAATGACATTCGTTTTATTTTATCTTTTTCGATTTCTTGTGTTCAATTGGTTGACAACTACTGTCATGATGAGGTGGTGGTGTAGTAAGTAATGGAAATGACTGTGGTGACGCACATAGAAGACAATGACATTAATACATCAAGGAATGACGTCACATCGCATTAAAAGTTGGCGTGACATTAACATGAAGAGAAAATTCCAACGTACTGTGGAGCAGTTACTATTTTTTCCGACCTTACTGAAATCCTTTGGTAAGCTATTTAATGAAATTTTAATATAACATGCAATAATGTGATGTGGGA